TCTGGGCCCTTGATTCCACTGTCACATTGTTCTTACTGACAGTTTCTCAAGTTGGTATCTGATGTTCTGTAATGTAAATCCAATATTTCGCATCCTGTCTTCTGGAGAACTTTATTACATGTGGCATCCTTTTAAATCTTAAGCAATTTGATATTATTATATTTCCCCCTCTATTTTTTTCTTAAGACTAATCTTTCTTACTTCTTTCAGTCTCTCTTCACAGTATTTTCTAGTCCCTTAATCCTCATTGTTATTTAAACCTTTCCAATTTGTCTGACTGCTGTTTATGAACAATGCAGACTACAGTAGACTTTCTTTCTGAAATTTGGGAAGTACATGTCTATGCCTAATATGGCTGAATGTATAAATAAGCAATTCTGCAGCCAAATCATACTACTAACATGTTCATTTTGTAGTCAATGACTATTCATAATCACTTGTTGTATGTGATTTTCAAGCCAATTATGTATTCAGTTAATTGTCATGCCATCTAACCTAAATTAATGCTAATCAGAATACCATGGGATACTTCAAGTACTTTGCTGAAACCAGTATATAATACATTACAGAATTAGCACCATTTATTATGGAAAAAAATATTTAATAGAAAAATCAGATAAGGTGAGTTTTGCAAATCCATGTTATAATAATCTTGCTGATAATTGCATTCTTTATTCAACTTCTTTATCATTTGTTCTAGATTTTCCCAGGAATTTATATCAGATGGACTGGTTTACAGTTCCCTGTATCTTCCCTTTTCCTCTTTTTGATGATATAGATAACATTTGTCCTCTTACATTTCTCTGAGATACACAAGCAGAACATTTTTGCTGTGTCATCTCAGGCTACTTAGAGATGAGATGTTTTTATGGAAGAAAGATAATACTGGTATAAGCCTGTTGCAAATCTGCATTCACCTTTAACAGTTTGCCTGTCAGAAATAGTATGTTGCAGAAGAATCAGTTTAGAAATATCCTGACATTTTAAATTTGCTTGGTATGTAGGATTTTGTATTCAAATGTATAAATTTTCAACTCAGAGGTGACCCACTTTAAGGAAAAAAATAATCCTATTGTGCAAAATCTTTCCTCATTTATTTCTCCTTGCAAAATCCATCTATTTTTTCTGGCTACTCTTTTCTAGAGAAATTACCTCTATGAAGCATTGAAAAATGTTTATAAATAAATACGATGTCCCAATTCTATACTTTGCCCCTGAATTGAATATTAACAGAATGCTGCTGTAAATAGGTTCCTTTTGTGAAAAATTGGGGAAAAAACCCGATCATATCTCAAGGAACAGAGAAAGTTACAAATAATCCTGGGAAGAATATTTTGTTATGGCAGCAGTTGATAAAAGTTTGTAACATGAAAAGAAAGTGAAGGCTGCAATTTACTGAATCTGAAAAAAATAAATATCCTGACACAATTCAGTCTTGCTGAAGTAGCGGTAGTAAGGTTTGTGTGAGGTGTGCCTGTGTATGTGTGAGTGGGTGTGATTTCCATTTCTGTTTTGACTGACACTACCATCTCCTTGGCCATCTCTTCGTCTTTGGTAATGAAATACTTTCTGCCACTAGTGCAGCTGTGCGAGTTATAATTGATCCACTTTCCTAATTATACAGGGACAGGGGACAATCAGGAGGCTGAGAACTGATGACCAAGAATCTTCTGGTACTTCTTTTTTTGAGGAACCATGCTTAGTAGCAGCATTCCAAGCCTAGGGGTTGGCTGCCAATTTTTATTACCACTCAATGCATCATGACAGGGCATCAGGGGAAGGAAATGGAAGCTCACAGACTCAGCAGTCTGATGTGGAAGATTCAGGGTACATATTGTAAATGGTAGTCCTTAGGAGCTACCTGGACGGTCAGATGTAGACATTAACCTGTCATATTATGGTATGACATTGGGACCAGAATTTCAGGCCATTGCTGACGTACTACAAACTAATAAAGGAGAATATTTGTCACCCAGGGATGAAATGAGGGGTCCTTGGTGCTCTTTGAGCTTGGTTGTTTCCTTGCAGACCAAACCAGATAACATCTTGCACTGATGATGTTACCTAGTTTGGGTAATGAAACGTCTGCCACAAAACAACCAAACTCGGAGAACACCAAGGACCCTTCATACTAACAAACTGCTTTGAGATGGGGCGGGTGACCCTGTTCTCCCCCTACTCCCTTCTCTTGAGGTGGGCTGAGCCTGAGGCAGCTTTAGGGCTGAGGGATGCCTGTGTGTCCCTCCCTGCTGGGCTCTATACTTAGCCAAGTCCCAGCCCCCTCTTATCAACCCGGCCATGTCATCAGAGAGTATTTTTGGGGACAGCAGCTGCAGGCATTTGTAACACTTCAGCTTTGCTCCACTCACAAACGCCTGGGGAGCAGGGCAGAAGGAGACCAGGGTGCTACAACATAAGAGGGTCAGACAGCAATTGGGGTGTATGAGGAAGAGTGGACAGGCAAGCATCAGAAATGCCCAGACTGATCATGGAACAGAAAGGGACAAAGAAGTATTGAGAAGAGCAATCGGAGTTTAGACCCATGAATGACCAAATAGCTGGACATCGTCTGACAGGACCAGGAGAAGCAAGAACCAGTTGCTTGAGAAAGCGGATACACAAGGTTAGTGAACCCAGAGAGAGAAGCAGGGGATTCTGTTGAAAGACCCTTCTTATGCCCTCTTTTAGCTTGTGTCCCTGTGGAAATAATGGGATTAAGGAGAACCAAAGTTGCCTATGAGGGTATTCTGGATGCTTCTGAATCATGAGGGCCATACAATCAGTAACCAATCCTGGTTGCTGAGTAATGGAACCAAAGGAAAACAGGTTTTGGGGTACCAAAAGAAACAGGCTACAGGCCTTGGTGGTCTGAAGCTTTGTGGAATTAGACAGATCAAGAGTTCCTCCCTTATCAGAAGCCCAACCTTCCTCTCCATGAAGTGGCTGCCATGCTGAGCAGCTTGTCCTTGCTGTTTCCTATCCTTATGTACCAAGAGCTTACAGGGGGATACTAGAATCATCTCAGTGAGAAGTGTGGGGGAAAAGAAAATGGTGTTCCATCCTGCTGGAATTCTCCCCCTCACTTTCTCCTGTGGGCGACCAGGCTGAGTGGCAGTGAGTGGCAGCCTATTATCAGCAAAAAACTATTTAGAGCCTGATAGGGGAGGAATGCATGATAGGGCAAGTATTCCTGGCAGGCTGTGGTGACAGTTGGGCAACTGGATCCTCTCAGCACTGGGGTAGCATTTCAGCAGGGAAGACGAATTGGGAAGCCCCTTGTTCAAATCTTGCATTACTCTGTCTCTCATTAAGGAGTCCCTGTAGGCAACTGCCTTAGTTCCCCCTTGCACCTATTACGATCATACAATATTGGGAATCCACTTTATGCAAATGCTTGAACTATGCTGGTGACAGCTGAGTACAGGTCATGGTTCAAATATGGTTGGCTATATACACAGTATTTTTCATTAGACCTCCTTCAGGTTTACTTTGCATATCAGAAATTTAGTTTGCATTCTTCTTGCTGGTGCATTGAAGAGGTGCTCTGTTGAGAAGGGCTAGAGTACAGGGTGGACAACCCAAGCCCAAAGTAGCAAATTGGTTAAAGAGGTTGGACTAGGACTCCGGCAATTTCTCTTCATAAACATCTGTTTCAAGCCATAGTGATGTCAAAATGTTGTCCTGAACAGTTTTGTAACCTCATCATTCAAGTTATTGGTGGCATTTACACAATATGTCACAAATAATTTGAATGAAGAGGTCACTATACCTCATTATGGAACTACTTGCCAACTTTGGGTCTGTTACTTTCAGTTTAACATATTTCTCAGGGTTGATGTGGTGTGCAAAAAGGAAGCCAAATTCCCATGTAAGCTGTCTTGAGCTTCCAGAAATAAGGGAGAATATAGGTCTCAAAAGCAAGCAAACAAAAAATTTGTGGTCTCTCAGCCTCATTTTGTTTGCTTGTTTTTCAGCCACTGAAATCCATCTGAATACAATTGCTGTAAATCAACTGTATCATCTGACATTCTGAGGTAGGAGATACCTAAAAATGTAGTGTAACCACTAAAAGGTTTTAAAATGAAATAGGCTGGCTCCCTCAAAACCTGGCAAAACAAAAGCGATTGTAAAAATGGCTCTGTATGTGACATGATAACTCACCGATTCTGCCCTCATGGCAGCCCTCATCCTTCTGAAAACCAGGAAGTGTAGTTCTTGGGTGGCTTCCAGAGTTAGTAGTTCTGGCTATTAATGAGATGGGAATTTGTTGAAGGCATAGAGTACCTTGACATGGCTGAATAGGCCTATGTACACAAAAGAGACGTCCACTTTTATGCAAACAGAGAGTTGCACTGATGATGATAGTTCTGGCATGACCTTGCCTCATGCTACTGGGAAGCAGTTGCAAATATTCAAGCAAGGAGACTTAGTTTCTCCCTATTTGTTACCTTATTTTCACCAAAGTGTATATTCACTAGAGTCCAGTTCCCAGTTTGAAGACATAATTGTCTGTTAACGCCATGTAGATTCGCCTAGCTCAGCTGAGATCAACACAGTGCATCAAAATGTTAGCCTCACAAAAGGATTGTGTAAAATAAGAATATAGTATGTGGCAGGGTTATCCTGGAGATACCATTGGTTGCAGAGAGGGCGGTGAGAGTAGTAGGCTGGAATGGCTCTGGACTCCCCTTGCTAATAGTTGTGGAACAGCTTCATTAGGTGCCCAGCTTCCCACTCAGTCCAAATTTTACAACATCAAGGCTGAGTAGCAGTGTGATTAAAGGCAGAGTTAGAACTTTATCCAGAAAAGCGGGAGAGGATGAGGGTGAAATGTGAAGCGATCATGCATACCGAACTGAGTTCTGAACTGTTTTCTCCATTTCATCTTAAGTGAAGATACCGACCTCCTTTCAACCCTTCCTCCTTCTCCAACTATAACTCTGCCTTGATCTGATTCTTTATAGGTCCCTGACCCGACCCGAATCCTCACTAGGCTGGCAATGGATGCTTTTGGTGGAGCTCCCCGATTCCTTTCCTCTCCTCGTACTTTCTCAGTCCAAAGTGGCACAAATGCCGTCCTAAAATGGCAGGTGGCCGGGGAGCCACGTCCCAGCATTGTTTGGGAGAAAGATGGCTCTGTGCTGGAACTGCCCTCTGGCCGGATGTTTGTTGAGGTCAACGGGGATGCATATAGCCTGCTGGTCTCTCAGGCTGGCCCAGCGGACAGTGGTCGCTATGTGTGCAAAGCCAAGAACAGTGTGGGTGAAACCTATGCAGCTGCTCTGCTGAAAGTGGAGACAGGGTCTGAACTGAAACCTAATGGAGATTTTGACTGCCAGCCGCCCATCTTCCTGAATAGGCCTGTCTCGGCATGCGTGACCCGGGGCGAAGATGTGACTTTTGCCTGTAGGGTCTCAGGGCAGCTTGAATGGGAAAAAGATGGACGCAGATTATCAGACATCTTTGAGAGCAGCCATTACAAAATGGACGTAGAGCCTGGGGACTGGCATTCTCTGCACATCTACAACGCCCGATTGCCAGATGCAGGGGTCTATGTGTGCCGAGCACAAAACAGCTTTGGGGAGAGCACGGCTGCAGCTGTGCTCCTGGTAGATCCTGTGGCATGCCTTCCTCATCGTGACCCATCTCAAGGGGCTCCCCAAAACTGCCATTTCAAGAAGCCAGCTGAGTCACCAGAGGATAAGAGGCATCCACGCCACCCTGCACAGATTGTATTGTCTGAAGGCGGGCAGAATGGAGAAGTGCTGTCCAGCTTACCCCCAACAAAGTCTTTTACTGTGAATGAAGGGAAGCATGCCAAGTTCCGCTGCTATGTCATTGGCAAGCCCAAGCCGGAGATTGTCTGGCAGAAAGATGGGAAGGTGTTGTCTCCTGGAAGAAGACACCTGCTCTATGAGGACAGAGAGGGCTACTTCATCCTTAAGGTGCTGTACTGCACTGCACGAGACTGTGGACTCTACGTATGCACAGCCTGCAACACTGCCGGCCAGACGCTCAGTGCTGTGAGACTCCATGTCAGAGGTATCCATCCAAGGGGGAGGGAAAAGAAAGTGGGTTTGGGGATGTGGGGACATCACTGAATCTGCATGAGAACACGTTGATTGGATTCACACGTGAACCTCAATTGACCTGGATAAATGGGTTCTGCAAACCCAGCCATGTGAGTGAAATTAGTGGGTGAGAATGGATGGGCTATTCCAAGGGAAAGAATTGGGTATTTACTGCTTGCTAAATCAAAGGAGGATATATCTGCCAAGTACAAGAATGAAAGAAAAAAAAATGTAGGTGTTGCCTGAAAGGTATGTTGAAGCATAAATTTTAAGCTTGAACTAGTTTATAAACCAATCCAGCCCATGATAGATTAGATAAACACAAAAGGAATGGCCAAACCCCTTGTGAGAATGGGAACAGGTCTAGAGCAAAAAATTCTCAAGACGGATTACACAATGGGTTTCGGAAGCAGCAAGAACTCTCTAGAGCTTTATGAAAATGGCAGGATGGCAAGCAGAGACTTGGTTGGGGCCTGTTACCTATTTGCTGAGAGATCCAAATGGTCCTTGGGCTCCGTTCTTGAGGGGTGTACACTCTTTGCCAATAACAGTGCCTATGAACTGCAGAGTGGTTTGGTCCATGACAGAGGAGGTGGATAGCAAAGCTTTGTTTTCTTTCAAGGGAAGAGACATGGCATGTGAGAAAGCAACCATTGATAAAACACTTGGCTGGAAATGGTTCCTTCTACCTTGGGTTAGGAATATGTCTTGATTCTTTAATACAATGGTTATATGTAGAATCAACACATGTGAATTTAGGGGTCAACACATGGCAATTTGGGGATCGGCGAGTAGGTAATAGTCTTCTCCATCTGCACTGATTCTGTTGTTGATTACTATGGCTTAGGAAGGAGAGTTTGCTGGCCAAGTAGCAGATGAGTTAGTGAATGTTCCTGGATTATACAGTCTGGAGATGGAGCTGAGCACAACTGAATGATCTTCTACATTTAATGCATGGCCCAGTTTTCTCTTAACTGTTAGTTCAGTATGTGCAATGGAAATGCTATCTTTGTGTGATTGACCACTAGCAATCAGAACAGAAATATTTAATACTGCGTGTGCTCTTCAGATTGATAGGGGTGGGTTACTTCCCTCCATGCAGTGTAGTTTAATAATTTAACTTTAATAATTTAATTTTTCATCTCAGAAAAGAGCAACTCTGGGTAATGTACAAAAATTATGAAAACACATACACCAGCAAAGGGAGGACAAGAATGGACACCTAGGAATGGAGCAATCTGAGCATATATCCGGTTCCTTGGGAACACTGGGCCTGATAATATAACTAGGTCTTGAGGGACTTCTGGAATATCAAAAGAAAGGAATTAATAAGGCAGACACCATGTCAGAAAAAGCAAGTCTCCTGGGACCCACCAAATACAGATCCCTAGCTGATGGTACCTGCAGCATGCCTCCTCTGCCAATACCTGTGGGGAAGGCTAATGTAACCAGGGAGAGGCAGGTCCTCAGATAGTCTGGTTCCATTCCATGCAGGGCTTTAAAGATCAAAACCAGTACCTTGAATTGGAAGCAGACTCACAACCAATGCAGCTTGTGGAGTAGAGAAGTAACATGTGCTATTCTAGAAGTGCACATAACTGCCTTTGCTGCTACATTTTGTATCAGCTGAAGCTTCTGGATATTCTTCAAGGGAAGCGCCATGTAAAATCAATGCAATAGTCAATCTGGCTAAGGCATGAGTGACTGTAAGCGGTCTGCCAATCCAGAAAAGAGCACAACTGGTGCACAAACAGCTGTGCAAAGGCCCTCCTAGACATGATGACACCTGCCCTTTAAGCAGGAGTCATGAGGATTAACAGAGTTGGAAGGGACCTTGTAGATCATCCAGTCCAACCACCAACCCAAGCAGGGGACCCTATACCATTTCTGACAAATGGCAGTCCAATCACAACTTCTGAAGGCTGCCAGAATGCTCACAGGGTCTGTCTGGGACAGTGCACCAGAGATGGCACAGTCCTGGAATTGGTGGGCCCCACAATTCAAAACCATTCAATCATTCTGCCATTCCTCATCTAGACCCTCACAGCCTCCAGACACCGAGATACGACATTCATGGCTTATTTAGTTTTATTAAATAATTGTTAAATCTACTAAGTTTTATTTAAAATTTAATTTATTTTTTTCATGTATTAGCCTATGACAGCCAATGAGACAAAACAGCAGAACTATTCAACTTGGTAAGGTGAGATCTGGAATAATTTTTTCCCCTCAAAACAGCTTATCAATTATTTGATACTGGGTTTTAGAAAAGTTGTGCAAAATTGCAAGTAATGCCCGATATCAGTCTGATGAGAGTGTTGTTTAAGACATGGCTGCTATTCAACCTCTGACATGCTCTTGGAATTGCTCCTTGCCTTCAGGACTGCCTCAATAGAAGGAAGGATTCCAGGTTTAGCTGCTCTGACCCTCAGCTTTAGACCAGGCCTTCAGAGTGGCAGACGTCTTGGCATTAAAAAGATGGGGAAAGACAAGAGATGGGTTATTAATGAAACTGAGGCAACTGATAAAAGGAAAGAAAATAGGGTTATAAAAACATTTTTCACCGTGTAGGATATTGATAGATGGATTTCAGGCTCTTCGCTTTTCCAAGAGAGATGCTTGGAGTTCATGAATTTTGCAGACTGTTCTGAGGAGAGCAAGTGGGCTGATAAAGCAGATTCAATGCCACGTGAGGCTCTGAAGGAGCAGCAACATTTGTTTAGCCTGGAGAGGAGAATCAGAAGGGCGGATGAGAGATAACAGGATTCAGTTATATGTCAGTGACTGCTCTTGGTCAGGAAATCAGCTGTTATCTAAATCTCTTGAGGGTCAGACAAGAGAGGAGATGGAGTTGAGTGAAAAAAGGGGAGTTAAACATCAGGAAAGTTTTTCTGCCTGTAAGAATAGCAATGCAGTAGAACACTTTACCCAGAGAGTTTGTAGCATCTGTACTCAGTGGAACATTTTTAAAAAATAAGCAAAATGTATTTCGTGATGGGACCCTGTGTAGAAAAAGGGAGGAAAAAAATGGGAGGGGTGGGGGAGACAGAGATGGCAGAGTGTTAACAAAATAATAGAGTTAGAAGGGACCTTGGATGTTGTCTAGTCCAGCCCCTGCTCAAGCAGAAATCCT